AGCTGTACATTTTCCCTTTTTCTCTAGTATGCATAACTCTGTGTAGAATAATTTTTGTTTTTAATGAAGGCTAGTAGTAGAGCTACCTGTGTATTAAAGACTGCTATAAATTAAATAAAAATCAGAAATATAGAGGAAGACTTTTAGTAACTTTAAAAATAATTTCAATGTTTTGATAACAAAAACATTTTTATATAAGTTCTCCATAAAAGAAGAAGTCCCTTCCATGTTGGTCAAGTAAAACAGAATCTGCAACCTTTTTCACACGGAGCAGGTAAGTACAACAAAAAAATGAAATTAATGTTTTTTTTTGTTGTTGTTTTCAAGCAAAAATATATCTGTAACTCATGCTCCAAGAGAAACTGTGGTACCAATCCAACCCCTAAAACTATTGTGATTCGATCATTAGGGTTTAATATTATTACCATGAGCTAAATGCTGATATGTGCTAAAATGCTGGAAAGATAATAATTCTAATTCTCCCTTATCATAAGAAAAATTATCAAGTTTCAATAGAATAAAATTATGTGCCACTACTAGAAACATAATCATTTTGTGGTTGAAATGCTTTAAATTTAAAACAAAATCTTAACCCACTTTTAAAAAGATTATATATCGCTAAGAAAACTAGATCAGTCATAAATGAATTTGCCAGGAATCTATTACCTGAGTCCCTGATAAGAATTCTCTAAAATATTAAAATATCTTACTCTGTGCATAACCATAACCTGAATAGCTTGCCCAAGTCAAGTCAGATTTTCTGGATGCTCCAACTATTTTCCAATAGTTTTTCTCCCTTTATCTAACCTGAATTCCAGAGAATCAGAAGGCACTGGCTTAATCTGTGAACAGTCCAAGTAAGGCAGTATTAGAGAACCAAATGGAAAGAAAGAAAAAGAAACGCAAGAGGGTAAAACAGAAAGGTGAGAACAAAGAACAAGAGAGAAACGAAGGGACGACAAAGGGAGGGGCCTGGAATTCTCACCAAGATATAAGAGCTTTAGTAAATTATTTTCAAAGTTGTGAAATAAAACTACGCTAACCAAACAAGAGCCTCAAAAGAAATAATTCATTCTGATTATCTGTCAAGTAACTAACTTAACCTAAAGTGTGCATGCTTGCACCATATTAATGACTTGCTTGAAATAAGGATTCCAAACTTGTTCTGTTCCCTATTGGATTAAGGAAACAAAACTAAAGCAATTTTTAAAAAACAGATTTGCTCAGTGGGTGTTAAAGACTCAAGTTCAAGTGTCTGTCTTCATTATCTGATTAAAACCAAATCATAAAACTAATAGCACCCAACATTACTTTCGGTCATCAGAATGTTTTCATAATTTTAGGGACCCACAAGGTAATCCCCCCCCAAAAAAAAAGAGAAGAAAAGAAATACTATTAGAAAATATTAAGATAAAAAATTTAGACTTCTCTAGATTTAGGTTTTGTTTTGTGTTTTGACTTTTCGATGAGTAAATCATTGAGGTTTGGGGGTTGTTACTTTGGTTATTAAGTGGTTGACAGCATATTCTTTCTAAGGCACAATGATGGGTTACTTTTTGATTGTGTGTTACAAAGGCACACACAAAAGAGCCATCTCAGGAATGGACTTGAAGCACATTTTGCAGAGGTATATCTTTTTCAGTTTGCTGGTTTCCTACAGATGGCTCAAGCAAGGGGATAGAACATGCTGTCATATTTCATTCATAACACACATGTACTGTCGCTCTAGGCAACAGATGGACAATCACTTGTTTAAACTACAAATGTGAAATGCTAAGGTAGAATAGCAATATTTCTAGAAATGTATATGAAAAAATGCCTTTCCAAGCCAAGAGGAATGGTGAGAGGCTGTGAGGTTACATCAGTGTTTCCCTGATTTCCCTAGCAGCTGCCATAATTTTCCCAACACCCTTCAAAACTTGATAATGGGAGGATCAGGGGGCAGCCGACGCAGATTTGACAAGAGAAGCCCGGACCACATCAAATAGAAGTAACACTGTTATTCCTGGTTGGTTCACATTAATAGGATTTTTACTAAGTAGGAAAACGGTGGAAAGTTGTATTTTCAGAGTCCTGTTTCTCTTCTATAGCCTCACTGAAAATGCACTCTCTTTTTTCCTCTGTACCCCAGATGTTCAATAGTTGCTTAAATGTAAAGTTTTATATTCTCTAAACATCACCATAAATATCTTTACAGAATATTTTATAGAAAACAATTAGTGTTGATAAGTGTACCTCATTAATCAGCATAGGCTCCATGAGTCATTTTGAGTGGAAAAATTGCTCCAACAATCTTGTTGATGACAAGAAGAAGAAGAAGAAAAAGAAATCCGCACCCCACTGCAGAAATGTCAGCTCCTAACACCTTTGATGTCTTATACTGCGACATGGGGCTTATATTTGTGTCTCAAAGGCAGTTCTGTTTTCCAATCATAATGATCAGGGGATCCAAGCTAAGAAGAAATCTTATTTTGGGCTAGGGGTATAGCTCAGTGGTACAGGGCTTGCCTAGCATTCAGGAAGCCCTGAGTTTGATCACCAACGCTGAAAAATTCTCATTTTGGAACAGTCCACAGAGCTTATGACATAGTGAGTTTTTTTCCTTTTCTAGCCTCCCATGTTACACAGAAATCCAAAATAGTTGTGCTTTCAATAATGTTTTAAAAACAGGGATATTTGTACAAAATTTTTGCTATGTACAAAATTTTCGATTTTTTCTGTTATGTATTTAAATGATAATAAAAACAATATATCAAAAACAATGTGAGTATATAATCTTTAGGGTAATATAATCTTTGTATCTCTGTTATAGGCAACATTTCATGTAACTAAAAGAGTAAAGAGTGACTTGGCATTGTTTAAGTCAAATGATTAATAGAAAAAGACAGTAATAGAAAACAAAATAAATCATACATTTGAGAAATCCTAGAATAAAATATGGTAGGACCCTTTCCTTAGTAGACCTTGTGAAAGAAAAAATATCTAAATCTAAATATTTCTGTATTATGTGTGCACATTCATCATTATAAAAGTATAAGTTTATATTAAAAAGATATTTACTTTCAAAATCTTTGGTAAAGATATTCTGAGGTTATATGATAAGAATGTACTATAGAGATTGTAAGCAAGCAGAATTCTGCTGGCAATGCCACAAAATGAAGGGCCTGTGACAGCTTTTTCTTCAAACCTTCGTCTTTGGCACGTAAACACTCAGTAACAGAAGGACTTAAAGGCAACAAACAAACAGGATGTTATCGCATTCCTAGGGTGTCATTATCTCATAGATTCTTCTTTTGGCAAAACGTAATACACGACTATTTGTAGACATAAAACCTAGCCCTCAATAAATTGGACTCTTTGCTTTTGGTCTCCAGACAATCTCCCCTAAGTGTTTAATAGTAAACATGTTAATGAATCAAATCAGTCAAACTATATTATCACCCCAATTGTCATCAGCACTTTACTTCAGAAGGCAGGAATCCAGAGACAGCTCCCAGCTCCTGTTGTACCCTAAAACTCATATGCTTCCCCTAAGTGAATTTCACATTGTGAGAAATAGAAGGTCAAAGAGAAGCCAGTAAGAATAGGACAATGGTCACAGGAAGCTCATACAACTTATGTCTTCCGTGGTTCTAACACAAAACTCCTAAATGACAAAAGCCAATAAGACTTAGAATAACTTAAATGAGCTGCAGTGATCACAAGTTGAAGAATTTCTCATTTAAAAAAAAATCATATTTATGGTGCTTTTTATCCAAGTAAAATAAATTTGGCTGAAATTCCTGAGGCCTGGGTTGCAATTTAAAACATGCACAGATAACTTTTCATTTTGGTTCTGGATGTTAAAATTTTAAATTAAAAAAAAATTCAGACAAGAAAACTAGCACTTCATAGTTGTGAAAAAGACATTTGTGGAATAAGGGAAGGGTGTACAAAGAAACGTGACTATATCTGATTTCTAACTGGTGTTTATGCATATAAAGATTCATTATATTATTATTTATACTTTCCTGTATATTTAAAATACTCCATAATTTAAAAGTATATACTTGAGGGAGATTTGAAGAAAGACTTAAAAAAAATCTTATGCCAAAATATCTAATTAGTTTACAAAATGGCAAATTGCCATTGCTAAGCTAGGTGTCTTTCCTCAAATGAGACATGCTAGAACTTAATAAATATGGTTCTACAGTTGGTAAGCAAGTGTTTCAATGGCTAATAAGAGTTTGAATAAAGATTCTAGGCAGAGATTCTGCATATTTTTAGTTCAGAAAGACAACTTTTTTCAGTGATTGTCTTTGCAAGTGTGGTATAAATGTCATATTGATGATATGAAAATGTTTCCTGCAATATGTAATTCAAGTTGCAGAAGGATTATAAGAATAATAAAACTGGTTTCACAATCTTTTCAAACTTTCCCCTATTTTTAAAGTAAATGAAATAAAGGAACACAACTTCATTTAGTGTCTTCTGATTTACAGTTGTTAGTCAAAAACAGACTGGGGATTAGGAAGATTCAAAAAACGAAGAGAAAGAAATTTGAACTATTTTAATCAGTATCTTCCTTCAGAGAAAAAGTCAGTGTTAGTAGCTGTGTTTGTATATTAGGGAAAAATATCACAATATTTATAAGATGAAAAGTAGCACAGCACTGAAGAGGTTACAAAAGCAAGTCTGTATTATGTCTAGGTAGAATGGAAAAGGAAAATCTTAGGGTAGTATTGTAGAATAATGACAGGCTTTTCAAACATACCCCCAAAATGCATTATTGAGTGCATCCCAGTTGTAATTTCTCTGAAAAAAATTGAAGGTTGATTGCCTTTTACCACTAAGCCATTAGCTGGTAACTATTTTCAAATGACTCTTGACCACTGATCAGTACAGATTCTGAAGTTGGTTGGTTGCACATCAAATTTGGGCTAGTTTTAATTTATGCATTTTACAACTTGAAGTTTTTAGAGCCTAACATAGAAATTGTGCACTGTTTTCTCCAAAGGTGAAGAGTGGTATAGAGCAACAGAGAAACACATTTTTCAATACACAGTAAAAGAATGGCCACCATTTATAGCTGCAGGCAGCACGGAAGGGACAGGATGGTGACTTGAAGCCTACCAGCACCTGGGACTTGGCAGACTTGCCCATGAAAAACCGTGGGACAGCAAATACCACACTAAAAAAAGCTATTCAACCAGATGAAAAGTGAGACAAACATAGGGATTAAAAGTTACAGGAATGCAGAAGTGAATGGGATGGAACATAATCTGTGCAAAAATGTGGAAGTCTTTGGAACAAAGGCCCAGCAGGGCCCTGCATGATTAAATGTGAAACGTGTATTTGGTAAGAACTAGAAATAAAATCTCATAAGCTATGGGATTCTACAGGAAGGTTAACAGCAGATGAAGCACAGAGACCATCCCATAGCTTGACTGCCTTGGCTCTATTTTCCTATTTCTTTTCTTAGCTATTTCTTGTGTTTCATTCTTCTCGGTACCACAAGCACTAAGAAGCTCATCAAGCTACTGGATCTAAAGGTCAGTGCTCGCCTTGGCAGTCAGCACCCTGATGCGGGCGGAGTTGCAGGTCTTGCAGAGGATATGTCCATCCAAGGGGTAGCAGCCTTGGTTATCTCCTTCGGACAGAAGACCACCACAGTCCTGGAGAATAAAGACAGATGGAAACGATGGAAACAAAACTGTGAATACTTGAAGTTCAGATTTCTCAACTTTCTATTCACAACCTCTGCAACGTGGCCACTTCATATAATGCCTCTCCCTCCCCCTCGTACATAACATGGGGCACCCTGAATCATAGTGAATGAAAGCCTGGGGTGACATATACATATGGACTAAAATGAACCTCTTGACAGTCACTGAAGATGAAGTACAGAGAGCCAATGGATTTCAGCTTTCCGGGAGTAGTTTGCTTCTCATAAAACAATGACAACAGAAAATACATAGACTCCTAATTCACTTTATTCTTTAGCGTCACTTTTTAGAGTCTCAAAAGGGATATATAGGTGCAGAAATGGAAAGTTTGGGTCATTTCTGGGCAAAAGCAGAGAGCGGTTCTTGCGAAGCAACAGGATCCTTTGTAGTTTATGCATGCATGCTTACTCCAATTATAGTACAAAAATAAGATCCAAGGGGTCTGGAGAGCCACAGTTTGTTGTACTTTCCAAGGAAGTTAGTACGCTACAGGGGAACAAGTGCTAGACTGAGACTGACCTCTGGGGTACCTGGAGGGACCACCCCCAGTTCTGTCCCTGGCTGCTCACTGCATACAAAGCTGACGGCCACTCTGAAAACGCTTCATTTTTCTACCTTGCCGAGGGTCACAGTGGATACTGGATGTGAGTGTACTTTAGAAAAATGCTAAGAGCCCTGTAACTTCACAGGATTATATGACTGTTGACAGCACCTGTGAAGGTCTACTTTGGAGAGTATTACACAGCAGTTAGATGTCACCCCTTGCCTTTGCAGCATATGGGCATTTCTTTGGAAAATAAATACAAAGAACGTCTAGTAGTGTGTGCCTTGCTGACTTTGGTAGCAACTAACAGGTCGCAGAAGCTATAGACCCTACCTCTACCGCTTATGCCTATATTTGACAAATGATGAGATTTAAATTTAAAAAGGGTATGGCCCAGAGCCCAAAGACAGTAATAGTTATGCTTCACAGGAAGTTTGGTTTCACCAAAAAGAATTTGATAAGTTGCAGTTCTAGGGGCCTTCAGAAAATTGGGTAAAGGAACTAGACAAAACACTGTTGGTATAATATAAAAGAAGGAAGGCTATTTCATGGATGACACGGACATCTGAACACTGTAAAAAGCCCGGAGAGGGCCACAGCATGGGGACCACCAATGCCTAGAATCTCAGAGCCAAAAGGGGCCTCGCATGGCGGCCAGTGTGGCTTCCTTGTTTTATAGCAGAGGACTGGGAGCAAAAAAGGAAGGGATTGGTCCAGAGTGATGTAGAGTCCACGGCAGGACAAGAATAGTAGTCTGTATTCTTCAAACTCAGTGCTCTTCCTGTTGTATAGTTTTGTTTCTAAAAATTTCTCATCAATTTAAAGCAAACCTAATGTGTATGGCTACCATAAAATTCAAGAGGAGGGAGACACATTTGATGCAACTTTCTGCACAAAGGTGAAGAACACTTCTGGCCAAGTGTGTTGGCATGTACATCAAGCATGTGAAGAAAGTCAGCAAGCCCTTCTAACCTGAGCCTCACTTTCTCTGCCTGAAGTATCTATTAGCACACCCTTCATTTGAACCACTTTAAGGATGACAGCTGAACACTGCTAATCTCTTCACTTCTGCAGTCATAAAACCTTGGGTAAGAGCTGTTAGTTTTTTTGTTTTGTTATTTCAATTGTCTTTTCTCATGTCGGGACTGGAGAAAGGCACACAACCTTGGCTCTAGAGCAAAACAAAGGACCCTGTAGAAAAGAGATGGTCAGTTATGGCTGAGGCAGTGAACAGAGTGAATGCTTTCCAGAGAGAAAGGGTGGCCCTCACAGCCCTGCCAGCCTCTGTGCTGGGAATATTTCTTACTTGGACTAAACGACCACTCCCAAGAGGAGGTGGCAATAAGGAAGCCCCTATTACACCCCACCAAAGGACAAGGGGGACTGAAGAGTGCTGTGTTCAGCAGAGCTGGCAGTAAGGAGGGAAATACTTCAGGATGGGTCTGGGTAATTGGTAGAACTCAGACAATAATCATGGGGGAAAACTTGCTACCCTTGGCTGTGTGAATGGCTATGTGTCTCCTAGCTTCAGCAGACTTCATTACAGGGACTTCTCTTGTCACCTCCTGACTAGATTCTGGTTCTGGAGACTTACACCTGGATCTTCCATGGTCCTTTGCAGTCATCTGACTTCTTAAGTGCTCAGCTAGTGCTTGCTAATAAGAAAAAATTCATGACTTTGAACAAGAAACTCTTGACTCCCCTGAAATGAATGGATTCTTATCCTTTTCAGTGGGTGGCAATGCATCAGAGCCAAAGTTAAAGATTTAGTAGTGTGATGCAGATAATAACAATACCATTTCTCATTAATTTAATAATTTACAACTTACAAGGTTTATTTTAGTCTCACAGCCATTATGGGGGGAATGAAGAATTTTTGTTCTTTGTACAGGTGGGGGAATTGAGACCCAGATAGGTAAAGTGACTTATCCAATGTTACTCACATTAAGCGCCCACATGGCTCTGTGAACACTGGCGCCCTGGTCTTCCCCGATTTAATGACAGCTCTGTTTATGAACGCCCAGCTCTCATGGGCCTTTCAATTCCCAGCACACACTGGCAGACATGGAGCACCCTCCACATACCTCACAGCGGTAGCAATGCACATGGAAGTCACGATCCAATGCCACAATGCGGACAGTCTCCTCCTGGCCAGGGGCTGGCATGATAGGCTCCTTGCACACAGAACACCGGGGGGCAAATTTCCTGCAAACAGGGAGATGATTCTGGTTAGACACTAGGCACAGACACTGACAAAGGAGTCACATGCAGGGGAGGAAGAAAAGGTGTCAGCCCAGCATCAAGACACCTGGTCTGCATTTCCTGTGTGACCTTGTCACTCTGCTCCATCTGGGTCTGCTTTCTCCTCTGCACCGTGAGGAAGTCAGAGGGCTGAGGTCCTTCTAGGAGGCAAAAACCACGCTATCTGATGAGGTGAAAGAGTGAGTGTGTGATCTGCATTGCATGAAGAGCACCTGGGAGCTCGTTACCACACAGCATGTGGTCAGCAAGCACCTGTGCACAGGTTCCTGCTATAAAACTGGGCCACACCGAGGGAAAACCAAGGTGCTGCTGGCCCAGACTTGTCTCTGACTTTTGCTTCTAGACCTTTGCATCTACTCCTTAGGACTAGGCAAACATCTTGAAGTTATCTTTCCCTCCTCTTGAATGCACAGGGCCTCTTTCTTAGAAATGTCTTGGACCCTAGGAACCAACACAAGAAGCTTCAGATATATTACTCTTCAAAACAGAGTTTAAAAACCTACTACACCAAATTAAAAATGGCCGAATCTACGTTTCCTACATTCTGATTTTGTTAAACTTTTGTTTGAAAGTTAAGGAACTGTTACATTCTTCTTTTAAGAATTTTAGCACTCTTCAAGGCTATGAATATATTGACACATATAAATATACACATGCATATATTTCTGAAGTTAGTTGTAAAGAATGTTAATATTTCTTAGTTCTTAACATGACCCATGGTCCCAAACACTTTTCCCTCATAGCAGAGGGCGTCCATCCATCTGTATTTTCTGGAAACCAGGAGTGGCATTTGTGAAGGTGTGAAAGAAGCCATGGTTTGAAATGGATACTCAGGAGAACTGAAGAGATTTTCAAAAAGCAAAAAAGACTGTGTAACTCAGTTTTTGGATGGTAATGGTTTTAAGATTAATGATGTTAAAATTTATCTATTTGTAGTGAGACTTAAAAGGAAATAATGATAGTAATCTAATACTTCACAGAGCACTTTATGGTTGTCAAAGCGTTTTTACATACATTATACTCTGTATGTACATATTAATTTTCCTGGTAGCATCCAAAAGGCATCTGTATGGCTGCAATCTAAATAAATATGAATTAAGCAGCAGATCAATTGATTGCTATGAAAGAAAAATTAAAAGGATCATGGTACAACCGCAGCAGTAATCAGAGCTGTTGTAATTGGTATTTTATGTGAGAAGTTTATATTCACACTGGCAAAAAACTGCTTTGGACTACCTGATTATTTTTGAATCTGGGTCATCGGTAGTGAAATAAGCAGGCTTCTGGTATCAACTGTAAAATTTCCTTCTCTGAAAACCACTGGAACTGTAAACACTGTGAGGGTAGAAGTATGTTCCCTTCTTACTGTACCCTATTTACAGGCTTCCTGTCCTACATTCCCAAAGTAGAATTACTTACTCCTCCAGGACAGAGTTTCTCTCACTGAATTTGTCTATTCTGATGGCAATTTTTTGTATGTGTTTAGCTGCAAAGGGTAGATTTTTGGCCCCTTTCTGATCACCATGACTGGTTCTGAAAGAAGAAATCTGAGCAATATCTGTGATGCCCCCACAAAGCCTCATGTGCTCACGGTGGGGCTCTGGGGAGTGACTGGATCATGGGTGTGTATACTGGGACCGCTTCACAGATGGGTTCATGGCTGGTGTGATGTTGGGAGGTGCAGCATGGGGGGAAGAGGGCCTGGAACTTTATATACCCCTTCTCCTTCCTTGATCTGCCCTGCTTCTCGCTGCCCGGCATGAACTCATTCTGCTGCCATGGAGCCAGACTGCTACAGACTGAAACCTCTACAAAGTGTGAGCCAAACTAAAATTCCTCCTTGAAATTGTGGGTGTCAGGTATTTCATCCCAGCAATGAGAAAGTAGCTAAGATAATATCTAATGAAACACAGCCTGCGATATTCTTCTACAAGATAAATGTTATTTAACATTTTTGTTCAATCTCAAGGTCCTTTTTTAGAAGGGCATAAACTGGACTTTTGGTAAGTAATGATTTTTCCTATCAACTGTCCTCCTTTTCATGTGACACCAGAAAGAAAAGTGAAGAGAGAGAGGAGGGGTCCCCGGAGTGTTCCTGGCAATTTGAGGAGAGTTAAAAATCCCAATGCTCAATTCACTGAATGGGCAATAAAAATAACAAGTAAATTTGATGAAAACATTTTTTAGGACTACAGCTACCCTTTATTGATTATTATTATGTGCCCAGTTCTACTGAACACTCCATATACCTCCATTCTAGCAGCGTTATGGGGAAGTACTTCCATCACCCCTACTGTGCAGCCAAGAGAGTGATATCTTAGTCATCTCATACCCAGCATAATTCTGGGAATCAACACATGGATGCTGATTAAACAAATAGGTTAGGGTAATATCTATGCTAAGAGGGCACAGACAGTAGGATAACGCCTCAGCACACTGAATAGGGCAGTCAAGATTGCCTTTCTGGACTTCTTTACAGCTTTGGCAGTGGGAATGACCTGAGAGGAACTTCTACATTTTTTTGCATTTGCTCTATCAATTTATACACATATTCTCTATTATTACAAAACAATACAGTCGTTTACTGTAAAACTTTATGCCTATATATTTCTTTGCAAGTGCTATCACCAAACGTCATCAAATTGAGAGCAGATATGAATTCAAGCATGGGGAGAGAGAGGCCTGAGATCAGAGAAGTTGTCTTGGAGGAGAAGGTAATTGACTTTGGCCTTTAAAGATGATAGCTTAAGGTAAATGGGAGTGTGTGTGTGTGTGTGTGTGTGTGTGTGTGTGTGTGCGTGTGTGCGTGTGTGTGTGTGTGTGTGTGTTTACGGAGTGGACAGTCAGCCAGGGAACTGAGGGCACAGCAGTCACTGAACTGACATCTGTGAAAGAGCTTACGGAGCAACTACGACTAGGATGTTCTGTAAGGAGTCACCCATTTGCAAGATTTCTGGGTTCTGTACATCAAGTTCTGTGCCTCCTGAATGCCGTTTCTGAGGTCTCACCAAGAGGCCACCCTCTCTGTACTCCCTACAGAGATTCCTTTGATTGCTACTTAACGCACTCTTCAAATTCTGCTCCCAAAGTCCCCTGGCCCCTGAGCTACACAATCTCTTCTGACTCTGACAGCACAGGTCCTTTCCTACTACCTGCCTAGAGTGCTGCCCCTCGGCCCCATCGCACTGCTGTGTATCTGCACACACCTTTCTTTGTGTGTCTAGGCAATCTGGTTCCTTGTAATTTTTTTTTTTCAGTGCCCATCACAGTTAATGGCACACAGTGGTTCCCTGCAAATGTGAGTTGAATTGTACTGAAATACATTTCCCAAAGGCTGACAAAAATCCGGGAGTGATGGAACACACCTGTAACGCTAGCACTTTGGGAGGCTGAGGCAGGAGAATCCTAAGTTTGAGCCCAGACTGGATAACGTAGTGAGACTCCATCTCAAAATAAAATATAAAGGGCTGAGGATGTAGCTGAGGGTGACGACACTGGGTTTAATTTCCAGTAACCCGTCCCCACAAACCCCCAAAACAACCCCATAAACTTACAAACAAATAAGGAAAAATCAACCCCACAAAAGCAGACCCATTCAGAAGGACCAAAACTGAGACCCCCCAAAATCCATTTGGGAAAGGGGTTTAGGTAACTTTGTCTACTCTCTTTGGTCTTCCATTCCCCACTTGTTCTGGACTTTGAGTGGCTTTGTCTTTCAAGGCTTAGAAATAAGAGTTCTAAACAATTTTTTTTCTACTTTCTTTTCATAAGTGAGGAAAACATCACAAAGCCTCTCCCTGCCCATACCTGCCAATTATGGAGACATTATTTTTAAAGAAATAATTTCTGTTTTAACATGCAAAGAATTGCCTGGGGGAGGGGGCGAGAGCTGAGTTTGGAGATTTTTTTTTTCCCTTTTAGCTGCTCAAGCCTGCTTTTTTTGAGCTTTCAGACCCACACACTTATGTCACGAGTCTCAAGTCTTTAATTATGCTCCCCACCACTAGAAATGAAAGATAAATGGCACAGATATAAACTTATATTTGTCAGGATTGATTTCCTGTTTTAATTGAGGGGTGTAATGTATCAGTATCTTCCAGCAACAGAAACATGTGTGCTCTGATTATATCTATCAGTCTTTCTTGGATTAGGGTAAGTCTAAGAAAGGAGAGAAACAGTGACAGAAATATACTCCCTATGGGTATCTTTTCACTTCCCTTAAATAGACACAGGTTTTTTTTTTCTTCATGTGTAATTACAAGCTAAAAATATCAACAATGTGAAGTACAATTTATGCTGTGACTGCCCTTTAAAAGTGAGCCCTTCCTTGCCTAATTCAAGTTGAGAATTTCTGCCTCTGGGGTTTTTTACTTCGTTCAGCCTCACGGTGAGGTTTTCACTTTCTCTGCTACTTGGAAAGAGGTCAGGAAGTTCATTTTTTAAATATGAGTCTCAGGTCTCCACACTGCTCACGGAATGTACCTCCTGGCTGCTGACAATCGACAGTGGTGAAAATTAGCCCATTTTGTGCACCCTTGGAAGCCATAGGATGGATACCCAGAGTGGTGAGCAGCATGAGTTTCGTCTCACCAAGGGCCTCACAAACTGTCCTCAAAGCCAGTCCCAGCAAACAGAAGTCAGAAAACCCTCCTGTCTTCTGTTAGAGAGTCACAAGTACAGAGTTTTTATAGTTGGTAAACATATGCAACATGTGATCAGTAAATCATCTAAAACACCGGCCAGATAAAAAACTGTGATTTCCTCAAAAACCTCAGCCCTAATGGAGGAAAGAGGGACCTACAAACGAGAGCAGTGAAGAAGAGGGATGTATGCGCATTTCTAGGCCAATGATTTAGTGGCCTTATTCACTTTTTAATCCTCCTCTGAAGACCATGCAATACTGCATTACTCAATTTCTTTATAAAATATCCTCGGGAAGAGAAGACCTGGGTGAAGCGAGAGGTTAGGGAGGACTAAGAATAAAGATAAATGTATGCTCTGTATATGTGAGAGGCTTGCGTAAGGCAGAGGGACACAACTATTCACAGCATCTGTCCTCCACAGCCTCCTGTGTGCAGCACGGCAGTGATGCAGATCTTGTCACACCTGGGAGAGTTTTAGGACAAAGTTTGGAAAAGTGAGGAAATTGGAGTGCTCAGCTCAGGAGCAATTTGCCAAATGGTATGTACACATCGTTCACGCTCAGGTCAGGATCCTCCCTCATTCTGCTGCACGTACTTGGTGGCTGAGTCAGTTTTCACCATGAGAGCCACACAAAGCTCAAACGAGCTCCACTGGAGGACTGCGTGAATCAACCGACAGCAATTCCTGCCGTTGGGGGGTGGTCAGTGTAGGGTGGGAAAGCGCTCGGTCAATACATCCTGAGCGCCTTCAGCTCTGAAAGACAAGAATGTGCAGCCCAGATACCAGGCAGCAAGAACAGATGTCCGGAGGCCTGGCGGGCTGGAGGAGAGGGAGGCTCTGCCTACTTGTGGAAGTCCTCGATGCAGTGAATGAGGCCTCCGGCGTCCACGGTGAACGGGATTCCGTCCAGGCTGCGGTGGCACATCACGCAGGTGAAGCAGTGAGGGTGATAGGCCTTCCCGGTGGCGCGGAGAATCCGCTCCATGATGGGCTTGGAACACACTTTGCACTGCTCCAGAGTATTCTGGGGAGGGAAAGGACATGCGGGTGTTAAGCTGGGACTGATCTCCGTGCAGCAGTGTGTTTTTACAGAGAACACGGGTTTAGGAACTTGGAACAGTGTCATTACAAAGGGAAGGAAATGCAATCAGAGTCAAGGACCTTTCCGGAGGTCTTCCAGATATCAGACAGCAAACCTAGGATTTAGAACCCGTGCTGTCTGACTACTACCCTTGCTCCTTCCCATTGTCACAAGAGTGATGGCAACCTTTTTGTTAGTATCTCTGGCCTTGTCAGGACAACTTAAATTTTGCCCTTGTAGCTCAATGGCTGCCGTAAACAGTACGTAAACAAGTGAGCACGGTTTTGCTCCAGAAAAACTTTATTTACAGAATCAAATAACAGGGCAGATGTGGCCCATGTCTGTTGTTTGATCACAGAAACTCCCCTCGCAGGTTCTGCACCTGGAAAATGCTTTACCTCTACTTCTAAATCTTGGTTCATCCTCTAAGATCTGAGGGGTGGTCACAAAGCCCCTAACTCTTTAAAGAACCCTTTGATGACCCAGACAATGCATGCTGGGTCTAGAACCCAAACCAGAGCTCAACGTAATCAATGGGATTTTGATCATTTAATACTTTGAGTCAAACACCACCTCCATGATGTGGGTCCATGAACAGTTTGGAAGAAATGTTGACTGTAGTGGGTGGTCTGGTTTTGAAAAGTGAATTAAAATCTCATCTGCCTCTAAAAATACATACTGGCATGATCCTTGAAAGAGCTACTTTTCAGTTTGCCAGCACTCAGAAAGATCCACACTTAACTTCCCATCCGTTCCTAGAATCCCATCCCTGCTCTCACCAATCAATCTTGTTTCACATGGACTCTGCTGTATTCCAACAGAGCTGCATGGGTGGACTCAGTGGAATCTGGACTAGATCTAGGACATGGATCTCATTACGAACATGCAGAACTGGGTGAGCTGTGGAAATTAGGGAGTAACTGCCCCCTTACCACGGAGACTCTTTAAGTTTCTATGAGGCAAGATGGGCCTAGTGTCCCCACAGTGACCAGTGCTAAGGGCCTCTGCCTTTGCCTCTTTGTTTGCATGGAGCCGCCCCCAATACTTCTCTTGCTCTCGAAAGAACTTCTAATTTCCTTTCCAAAACAACAAAGTGTTTTCCTGATAACAGAGACTGAATGGCTCCACAACGTAAATTTAAGGAATGAATTCTGTACATGATATTCAATGTCTCTTTCTAGGCTTAGTTAGCTTCTTATAACATCTCAGACTATTCCCTCTTGTTCAAGCTTAGGAGAATATCACACTCTCTGCACATTGGCTAATGCCCACATTAGTCATAATTTACCATTTGGATCTGTCAAGCTAACACTTGAAACTGGCTGCTCCTTTCTCGCCTCTTGTTTAGCACCTTGCTTACTCTTCTTACAGTACTTCCTGTGCATTCTTTATTTGGGCAGATGTCTGTTTGCTTTACTAGACTTGCCATTTCATGAAGGAAATGGACTATGTCTTAAAAACATTTTTTTTTCTGTCTCATACAGTACCCAGGGTACTGCCTGGAATAAAAATAAGCTGTGGAATCAATGTATGTAGGAAGAATGAATAAAGGAACAATGTTTAATTCCATGCTGGCATTACAGTGCTGGCTCAAGTCTCTCAAGTCTGGAATTCATCCCAAGATGAATTGGTAAATCCATCACCATCCTCTCCTCAGAGCTGTGGTTGCCCGAGGCTGTGAAATTGCTTAGTATGCCTCTGGTCACAGTCTAAGCTCATGGAATCTATTAACCTATTTTTCTCCCATTTTGAAGAGGTGAAATTAAAATAGCAGAACAGCAAAGGATGAGAGTCCGGGTTGAAGATGGCCTGGAGGATGAAGGCCTTCTTCCTCCTCTTCTACCCCAGTTATCTGAGTCAATGTGGCTAGAAATTGTCTTCCCAGGGCGTGTGCTTTGCTTCCCTGTGCATTTGAACCATTTTTTATTATTTGGAGAAAAAAACCTTGCCCTATAATGCAGTGGAACAAACCAGAATAATACTTGACCAGAAAATGTTTTGTTTGCGTTGAGGCTTGGCTGCAAGATTCAGCTCATTTACTCAAAGTCATCAGCAACATAGAAGATTCCATCTGCTTCCGAGGAAAGACTTTTGGTCTACGGAAGCTTTGCTCAAACGACAGGTAAACCGACCATTTTTGCTGCAAAGAAAAACATGTGAAATAGGCCTAAAATCTGCTGACTGTAAAATGCTTGCAAATCAGAAAAGAAAGTTCCCAAGAAAGCAGCTTGGGCTGGCAAATGATGAAGGGAAGGCACACCGACCTTCATTAGCCAGCTCTGCACCGTGTGCCTCCCTTTTAGTCCCCACTGGGCCCACCAGTACCCCTAGGCATAGCTGCTCTTTTTCTTTTTTAAATTAGCTTATGTTTGCAGTGCATAATAACACCTACCTCACATATACACACATATTACATCTTAATAATTTTAATCCACCTTCCTGCCTTCCTCTTTCTATTTCCAGATACCTTTTCCATTTTCAAAGTCTAGCTCCCTGTTTCCTTACCAGTAAAGAGAAACCATGTGATGTTTAAACTTCAGCATCCACTTTGTTTTACTTAGTATTATGGCCTTGAGATGCATCCATTTTCCTACAAATAACTCAAATTTACCTTTCTTTATGGCTGAGTAGTACTCCATTGTGCCACAGACCACATTTTCTTTAGCAGTCAACTCTTGACGGTTCTATAGGCTTCTTCCAAGATGTCGCTATTATAAACTGTGCTGCTGTAAACACGTGTGTTCATGGATCACTGTAATACATGACTGTAACTCTTCTGAGAAGATACCCAGGGGAGGTGCAGCTGGACTACATGGAATTTCTCTTTTTAGTGTCTTGAAGAATTGCCATACTAATTTCCGTATAGGCTGCACCAGTTTACATTTCTACCAAAAATGCAGAAGAGTTCCTCTGTCTCCATTAACATCGAAGAGAAAGGTGGAATCTCTCACAGTGTCAGGGAGGAGGGGACTTGGAGGCCTCTAACATGAGCTGTCATCTCACAGCGATTATTGCCTTTAGAAATGTTAACTTTTTGACTTTAAAAAGTTAAAATGTGAAATAACAATTTATGTAAAAAAGCAGTGTTGTGAAACAAGGTTACTGGAATGATAAAGGGTGACTTGTTCGAGATACAGTTTTGCTCTTATTGGGATAAAAATAAAAGGGAAACAAGAGACAGTTTGACAATATTAGCTCTCTGAAGTCCTTAGAGATTACAGTGTTCTAGGAGTTTTCAATTCTCACTGCCTCTCTCATACTCCTTCACTTAGAGAAAACAGTTTACTAAAGAAGCAGGTCTAAAAGAGCCAAACTCACTTCTGGCTGACGAGTGTGAAAGGAAGAAGCCTGTGAGAAATCTGCATTGTGCAGCTGGAAAAAAAAAATCACGATTCTAGTCCAACTACCAGACTCAAAAAACCAAGGCATGGACGGGGAACACAGCCAGTGTCAGATTTGGAGTTAGATGCCAGTCTTCTAATTCTCTCTCCAGTGGAGGGCTTTTCTGCTACATCACACTGCGTTTCAGCAGACACACTCAATGTTGCAAATAGAAAGCATTAAGTTTTACTATCTGGACATTACAAACACACACACACACACACACACACACACACACACACACACAGACAAGAAACACGTTGAGATCATGGTAGTTCGTCTCCCAAACTCTTATAGGATGAGATAGAAAACTCACTGTTTCAGATCTACAAGAGTGTGCTTGCATAAATTTTGGTTGGGTGAGTACCTTACATAAAGTAAAATTATTCTGTGTAACCATACAAATACTGTTCTGGTCCCAAACTTCCCAGCAGGCAGGCTAAGACACAGCATGCTCCAAATACACCATATTTGGGAGCCTCAGTAGGGGCCAGAGGTTTCTAGAGGCCCTCAGTGGACAGTGCGGGTCAGGAGAAGCTTCACCCACTTACTCCAGTGTGCTGAATGGATACCACCATTTTCCACAGGAGTTGTGATGTGGAAAATGTTGCGAAGTTCCTTTCAAGTGTAGGTGCACCCAAGAATGGCGGCGTACTTCAGTAAAAAGAGAATAGGGCTAAGACTAAGCAAATATCTTTGGAAGTGCCAGGGTAATTATTTAAACTCAAACAGTTAGATTACTTAACTGTGGGATACAAATGGATTCTGGTGTCCTGTATCTTAATTCTGGTGATAAGAAGGCTTCTGCAACAAAGAGACTCCATTATATCTTGGTTCTCTTCATGAGTCTCCAGCACAGTGGCTTCCTACAAAGCATGTAGGAATACATACATGTAATGCATGTATCCTCTCCACACCATTTCCCTGCTACCTTTCCATTTTCCCTCCTTCCTTCTGTTTTGCCTTTTATCCTTCTCTCTTGTGCTGGAAATCAAAACCAGGACCTCAATGACAGCAGTCAAGTGCTCTACCACTGAACTACATTCCCAGTCCATGCGTGCATTTTTTATTAAAAGTTTTCCTAATCTTTCCAGGTGTCCTCTACCGATACCCATTTATTAATCTAAATCCAGATGTGTATTTGTACTGGCATCTAATATATATTTCAAAACAGAAAATAGAGCAGCTTAATATCATCCATACGACTTTGATTTTTCTAGTCAGAATTAAAATTCCTCCTTTACAAATGAAAATTATAATCTTTCCAGATTGAAACAGTTTGTTAGATGGCATCATGTCCTTAAAATGTATTTTGTTTTGATATCATTACTCCATCTCCTCCATAAGAAAATGACAGCCAAAACCCACCTGACTGCAAATTCAATGTAAGAATTTCAACATTCATTCATTCTTTCTCCCTTGTGGTATATACCTGCCAATCTTTCTGAGGACAATTCGTGGTACCCAATCACCTCCCCACTTATACTAGCATTTCAGAAAGTTTAGATGGTGAAGCAAAGTGTTTAACATCCTGGCAGGTACAGAGGAAGAGAGAGAAGTCA